CAAAAAATATTAAGGAACGGTAAATGACCTTATGCCCGCACCATTTCCTTTTAGATGAAAAGTCACTTTCATAAATTAACCCACTACCGAAATGTTTTTAGACTGATGACATCGTAGATAAAAGTTTATTTGTCAATTACAAAAATAAAGTTTTACCAAATTTAGAAGAAAATATTAGAAATTTAAGATTTATGAATTTAGACTAGATATGTAAATTATCCATTTTTGAAACATTTATATGAAAATGTTGGAAACTCAATGATTCTACTACATTTTTAAGTAGAAATTATTTAGTATTTAAAAATTTTCAAAAGTACATCTTTCCATTGCTTTTTAGTTTAGTTCACTGAAGGAGATCATATACTCTCGATTTGCATCACATACTCAAGGAAAACTTCTATATGGATAGTATGTTACAATTAAACCATCACATTATTTTAAAAAATCGATGAAGAATAAATAACTTACACTTGTATGATTATCATTATAATGGTTATATTCGAAATTACTTAGTTGTGTTTTATCAGAAATTTCATTATTTAATGATGAGACATCAACATCGATTAATTTTAAAACAGGATCTTGACGATGATGATGATTTTTCGATGTAATAGCTGATGCTGATAATTCATTACCATTTAAATTATCACGATGCTAGAGAGATAAAAAAATAATAAAAAAATAATATAAAGCCAAATCATAATTCATCAGCATTTCGTACTATCCATTTCAAAGCATGATAAACTCAATCATTTGTTTGATTAACTTTCGAGCCAAAATGGTTATGGTACTGCGGTTTTCATCATTTGAAAGTCAAGATCGAGGCATGTGCGTTCAAATAAAAAAGTGACTTTGAGAATCTTTTTTTTTGAAAGAATCTTTGAGACTCTCGGAATAATTTTATAAAAGTATTTTGATTTTTTGAAATTTGATTGAAAAATCGTAATTGCTCAAAAAACAATTGGTTCAAAATACTTCAGAATATATTCCATTTTGTCTGCTTCACATCATAAATTATTCAAAATATGAAAAGAATCTCTTTATATTTCTTAAGTTTTTCATAAAACTTTAAAATCCAAGATGCTGTCTTTGAGTTTATTCAAGGTTAGAAGTCGACAGAACCACTGAAATAGAGTATATTTTAAAGTTCTGAAATGTTCTAAACCGGTTTTGAGTAATTACGAATTTTTCTGTTCTATGTATGAAAATAGCCTAGAATGAATTGTTTTACGTATTTTTTTTCACAAGGTTTTTAATTTTTTTAATCAAAACAAACATTGCTACAAGACTCAGACTACCTGTGTTTCAGTCGTCTCTGAGATTCATGCAGGTCATATAATAATCCTGCGGTTAGTAGAAAATGCGTTACTACGCCTAAGCTGTGGAAAACCAAGATATTGCTTGACTCTCATTTTGAAGAAGACATTCTAGATGTCTATCTGTCTGTCAAAAAAAAATCAAAACACTTCTATGAAATTATTCCGAGAGCCCCAAAGATTCTCTCCAAAAAATCATTTTCAAAAAAAGATTCTCAAAGTCACTTTGTATATGAAATACCCCGGCCTTGACGTTTAAACGATAAAAAATCGCAGTATCATATCTACTATGGCTTGAAAGTTAACCACGGAGTTTATCGTTCTTTAAAATGGATGTATATCATATACAAAATCAAAACAAACACCTATGTTTAAACAAAATTTTCTTCATATGTTTTTTCAGCTAAAACTATAGCTAAGCAAAGCGAAGTAGAAATGTGTAATCGTCTCACTATTGACAACTGTATTCATTGACTAATACATTGTTATGCGATTTAAAAATATTCAGTATCATACCCAATTTCGTTGTTCGCGTGTCGTCAAAAGACTTGCTATAGGTAAAAAACACGTTGGTAATGTTGCCGTTAGTGGTGGATAACTGTGCGTTAACAACGGTTTCATAAAACTACAAAGAAAAAAAAACATGACTTATGTAAAAAAAATAGGACTTCTTTTAGCATTTGGAAAAACATGTTTTCCAAACCTGTTTAAACTCAGAATTAGCAAAACAAAAAATTTGTTCATACTAAAAAGATAGCCCAATTCATCTTCAAAATGAGACGTTGCCGAGATTTTTTAGCTTGTTTTGTTTCCGAGATATAGCGATTTTAAACTGTGCAGTATTTTGTACCTGTTGTCGATAAGGCAGAAAGCACGAAAATATAAAATTGTTATACATGTCTTTTTAAAAAATGAGAGAAAAAAAATTTCTCATTTTTCCGGAGGAGTTTCACAGATCGAAAAAAACCAAAAGTCGGAATTTCGAAAAACTGAGTAAGCCATTTTGTTTCAGCATGTCGAATAACCTATAATCCGATGGTTTTCACCAAAAAATATGAAGAGCCGGAAAATGACCTTATTCGCCCACGTTCTTTCATCAATTCAAGTAAACTTTAACCTTCTAGAGCTCCACTACATATTTATAATTATAGTTATGGAAAACTCGTTGTGTGTAGAAGGCAACGCAAAACAGTTCGAAATGAATTCTGATAATTTTCAAATGAATATTAGTAGTCCAGTTGGAAATTTCTTTCATTAGGATTTCCATTTCTAGCGCTCTCAGCTGATGCTTTTTGGAAAAAACAGACAATTTTTTACAAAATTTTAGTAAAAAGTGATAAAAAGAATAAAGAAAGTCAAAAAGTCCATTTATTATTAAATGGACAAAATAAAAGACCCTCTTTTCTGCAAATCGTATTATAAGTCTCTATTATATTATTGAGTTAGACTCTTTACTAGTACAGCATTTTGATGAAAACAAATAACGTTATTTATAGGAAAATATTAGCATTAATTTACGTTCAAATATTGATGGAGATGTATCAGCGCATGCACATTTCAATCAGCAAAACGATCATCAATCTATTTAGCTGATTATTATGCTCTCTTGTTTTTGCTTGTATTACCGAGCAAAAGGTAGGCCCATACACACACTGTCTGCTTTTTGTCATGTCGAAACTTACCTTACGCTTATTATATACTGTTGCTGCTAGTCATAATTTGAAGAAATCTCACAAAAAGTAGTTGAAAAGAAAAGGAAATCGGCATTATCTTTTATTTTATATCAAAGCTTTTCACTGGTATCGCTGGTACTCATCAATGTAAACGTTGTAATAGTTTTTCTTATTTTCTGCAAGTCCGCAAAAAACAAAAGAAATCAGGCACACATAGATTTCATCTTTTTGTTGAATAAGTGGAATCTTCTACGGTTTTACTAATAATAACAAATTTAATGCCATTTGCACGATTGGTAATAGTTGGCTCTTTGAAAATGCTGAAACTCTAAATGTAAAGGCTGTTGTTACTTACCCCATAACAGAACGATACCCTAGAGAGTTTGATGTGCCACATACCTCTCACATACTCCACATACCTCTCTTTTCGGTGCTGTAAATCAATCCATAAGTCACCATTTTCCCTACCCGATCAGGACACGTTGTTAATGTTGAAAACTTATAACTGCTTCATCCGTTTGGACCAATTAGAGCGATACTCCAAAAAACTTGATCTGCTGGAACAAAATAGACGACATGTTTATTTAATCCATGCACCGGATTTACCCCTGGTTTAATCCATCACACTTTTAGGCGTCTATCAGACTGCGAAACGGATGGATTTCTAGCGTCTATATCAGTTGCTAAGTAAGATTATTCTATGGTGCTCATTTAGTTATCTTTACAGAAAGACACGTTAAGATGTTCATTTTCATTTAACATTTCAACCTAAAAATGCTCAGAACTATGTTAACTGCAATCCCTAGTAAAAATCTTAGACACTTCTTAACATTATCTTACTAAGATCTTATCCTTTAAGATTTTGATAAGATAATCTACGATCTTATCGTTTA